TGCAATACAGAGGAGGTACTTATTCCCACGTCCAGCTGTCTCTTGCCTCCACCTACATTAGATTGTGTCAAGCGGCCTCTAACCCCACATGATACTCAGATCCTCTAAACTGACTTCACAGGCGCACCGACAAATAAAAATTTTAAACAGTAATTATTGACAGCAATCGGCAGAGGTGATGGTTACGAGCGGAGTACCTCAGGGCTCCGTTCTTGGTCCTATCCTCTTCCTCATCTACACTGATGACTGCGTCCCTGGGTTGGACTGCGACATTACCATGTTTGCTAACAATATAAAGTTTTGGAACGTCACCCGGAACGAAGACGATGAAGCAAATCTACAGGCAAACTTGAACCGCCTCGAGCAATGGTTAGGCCACTGACTCCTCCCATTTAATGAAACCAAATGCAACATTCTGAGAATTGGCAGAACCAGCTCTGCGCACCGGCAGACGTACTATCTAAATCACACACCGCTGCCACTGGTAGAGGTTCAGAAGGATCTAGCTGTGTGGCTAACATCTTCACTAAAGCCATCATTCCATTGCTTGAAAGCAGCGAAATCCGCAATGTCCAGCTTATATCTCATCAAGCGTGCATTTGCCAAGTTCGATGAATAGTGCTTTCGCAAGGTCTTCAGGATGTTTGTGCGCCCACAGTTAGAATTTGCCATTCAGGTCTGGATACCCTGGTCTGTCAAAGATCTTACCACCCTCGAAAAAGTCCAACGACGACCAACCAAGCTGGTCAAAGGTCATTAAATCCTACCTTACGAAACTAGACTGTCCAATCTTGACCTTTTTCCCTGGAATACAGACAACTACTCGGCGAATTAATTCAAAAGTTTCGAATGCTGCGGGGTCAGGACTGCTTCCTCATATCCGGCGACTTCTTTGAGCCGGCCACCACTACTACCTTGAGAGGACATCCTCTCAAACTACGTGTGACAGGAGCAAGACTGGACTCAAAGAAGTCCTTCTTCAGCCACAGAGTGATAAAGGCATGGAACGCTCTGCCTGTGGAAGTCGTCATGTTCTCATCTGTGGGCAAATTTAAGAGAAAGCTTCACCAGTACAGGGATATGTACCACCACGGCATCAGAAACTAACAAATTTCCCACCTGTACCGCCCCCCGAAGCCTAAACGTTTGTTTCGACATTACTTGGTCCATTCAGTACCGCGTACAGGTTATTGTACAATTTTTACACAGAATGCATTCACAGACAAATTTATACCAGCAATCAATGCTTGTTGTATGTAATTACTTACCTTATTTTCTTTGACACTTGCCTTGCGCATTGATTTTTTATGATGTTATTGTAACCGCAAGGGAGTTCAAAGGCGCTCGCCTACCTTTCCCTTAATAAATCTGGTCTGATCTGACTCGCATCGACAGTTTTATTCCCGCTCAGCACTGTTGCTTGGCTTGGCATGGTGTGCGCTTGTGTAAGAGGGAATAGCCTGGTCATATTTTAATGCAGTGGACTTTCGATTGTCCCAATTAAATAGAAAAAGCCAACAGAATGGAGAGAGAGCAACTTTAACAATTTGACGTTTGCCATCTTTTTGCCTGACAGGTGGATAAATGGTCTCTTGAGGTAGATGTGTACAGGTCACGGGGAAGGGGCAAGGCCTTGACTCGCATACAGACGGCCTGAAGCCCTCAGTGTTGAGGGTAATGGTCTTTTTCGGAAGGACACGGGAATACGTACCACCCCGCGTAATATACGTCCAGGCCTTGAGCTAATGATGGCATTGTTTTCAACGTTACACGTCCCTACATATAAATGGGCTAGGACCAACCTCCAGTTGATGCAGTAATGAATTACAGCCTTCAGAATTTCAAACTTTGTGCTTCCGCACAATTTCCAAGTCCTCCTAGAAACTTCCATCAGGCAAACATGCCTATCTCTGATGGTAAAAGCGAGCTCCAGAAAGCAGTCGTGAAAAAGTAAACACGGTCTCTGGAACAAGGGCTTTATTGGCCAAATGTTTCGGACTCACGCCCGAATCCATCATCAGAGACTGACACATGGGCAATTGGCCGTCCTTTTCTCATTTTGTTACTAGGGGCGGATTTCAGCGTAAATCCGAAACTCCAGGCAAATAAATCTCCAGTTCCAGCAATCATGCATGTCTTTGTTGGATGACTTGACGTGGTTGCTCGTGTACTTGGTGGATTGTCTCGTGCATTTGTCCTTTGTAGTGCAATATTCAGTGTTCTCTCTGGGCTTGAAGGTCTCCATGTTTATTACAATCCTGCATAAACACACTGAAAATGACTAAAATACTCAAATACATATAGCTGTACTCTTTACTGGTTTTTGGCTTTCAGACCGATGCTGATGGATTCTTCAACATCCTCCCAGTTCAGGAGGAAAGCAGACAAGTGAATTATTAGCTGCCAGACTAGCTGGACGACCCCGGAGGAAGGACACTCCGGAGTTAGGAGAGGCGCGGTTTCGCGGCCAAGAATCTGGCAACCAGCTTCGTTGGGGCTTCCACCCCCCCCCCCCACCAGTGCTTACTGATGCGCAGTGAGTTTTAAGGGCGCAGAACTGCCCCATTCTACTTTACTTGAACAGATAACGTGATGCCAGTTGCAAGAAAAAGAGATGCTTCTGGCCAACCGCCTTCCACCTCTAGCTGGTTCGTATCCTGTATTTTCTATAGCTCCGATAACGTATCTCAAAACGGAACTGCAAAACTGAGAGACCTTCTCCTGTGCTCGACCCCTCTTCGCTTCCGCTCTGACCATCGGATCACCTTCTGCATCCTGTGCCCGAGCAACTTTACCGACAAAGAACAAGACACCGAAATAGCAACTCCCACCTCACCAGCGACTGAGTAACACGGTCAGCCCAAGTCTCGGATCACCCAAGGTTTGACACTGAGTAAGTTGATCCGCGAGCGGTGCTCACGCCACCGCCCCCCCCCCGAGGGCGTATGTCATGTCGACTGGGTCGAGGGGTATCCAGTTAGACATGAGTGGCATTCATGCAAAATAGACCGCTGCACTCCTCTCTTGTGTTATTGTAGTAATCTATTTTAAGGTTTTATTTTCGGGTTGTTCACCCCTCATTTTGTCTCTTTTGATCTTGCTCAGACAGACTGCATCAACTTCAAAACAGCAGGCTGTCATGCGGCCTATCTTTTGATTCCTTTTTGCAGGCAACATTTTGGCACTGAACAATGCATGGGGTCGCGACAAAAGGCCACGAAGTTATGATGCACCCCTCCCCTCTCCCTCCTCCACAGCATTGAAAACGCGTGGCAGATTGAAACTTGAAAAGGCAGAATACGAATCAGCTCTGACCAACAAACAACTGACGTACTGATATTTCTTCCGAACTCATTGAACAACCATTGAGTAGGGCATTTCATTCAGCCCTTCAGCTGCGGTCCCTAGTTTTTTTGCATTCGCTGCACCGAACCTCGTCGACACTATCCAGTCTCCTGGCGATGTGTAGGCATGCCCAGTATCACACTACGGTAGAACCAACATCAGAGGACTGGTAACGAAGCGAATTGTGTTTTCTTCACAACGGTATCGTCCATAAGTCGTGTTGCCCTCCGAGGATATCGAGGTAATGGCCACATTTCCGCACTCAATACCAAGTCTAGCTGATCCAAGCCACCGACAATTGAATGTTGCATTATCAACCAGAAAGTTAATCTTAAAGAAGCCTTTGAAATTCTCGACACAGGCTGAGATTCCTGCGAGAACCTGCTCACGGACTAACTTGGACGTGTCAGTTGGTCCATGCATAACTCGGATGACAGCAGGCGTCTTAGCCTGTCTTCAGGTTAACAGAGACTTCGTCTTGAACTATTGCTTCTGCTGCCGCTGGAAATGACGGACACCAGAGCAAAGTCCCTATTCTACTTGCAAACATGGTCAACAATCCCGAAGTGTCTCGATCATGGCTAGCAATTACTTAGCGATGTCCGAGCACGACACGGGCTCGATAGTGATCCTTCACGTCGACCTCACCAATCGCTCGCAGGTTGCTCCCGACCAATTCTCTAATTCTCAGTCATATTGGACCGGGCGTCAGGGGATCAGTCCTTGCAGGGCCTACCATACAATTACACATTCAAACACCAGCACTGCAGTAGAGCTGCCATAATCTTCCAGTACGATGTACATTAACGAAAGAGACTTTGGGCTTACACTAGAAGTAATGTCGTTGTGTTTGCCACTCAGTTTGGAGACTGTTTCGTAGAACGATGGATACTAGTCTAATATGTTGAATACAGATGTACCCTATCACCCCAGAGGTTTTCTGGGGTAACATTTTGCACACAGCATCGAAGGATAAAACGTGACAATTGGATTGATCGTTAGACTTAAAAAAATAACCCACCAGATTCTGTCGTTCCGAGCCCTTCTTCTTGCCCTTTCTGATGAAGTCAAATTTCTGGCATGCTACTCTTCAGCCCATGCATGCATCAATCATATAAGTCAGCCTACTGACTCCGTTGGTGCCTGGTTTCCTCGGCCTAGGCCGAACTTAAACCGAATCGATTTATCTGCATGAACACTATCAAAGAATTTTGGCTTTTGATAATTCTGCAGCGGAGTGAACTTTTTCGTTGTCCTTATCGTCCACGGTGAGAAAGTCTGTTTACTAGGATATAAGAGTCCAGTTGGTATTTCGTACCGTGGAAACCCCATTTTCTGTCGGTAGGCTTTTGTGATAAACCTGCGAGGAACATATTGAGCTCTGTCTATCTTAGAGTACATAAGCCATCGGTTGAAAAACTACACGGTAGTGCACTTTCTGCTAACGCCTACCTCTTTCCAAACCCCCCGTTTGACGGCATCTCGGCCTATTGATTTTTCATGTGAACTGTCCACTTCGGTATGGTGTGAGAACCTTAACTGCATGCGAATGCGTGCTAACCAATGTCCTTTATTATACAAAAGTATAGCTTTCTCACGTGCTCTGTTAAGAATAAGTCAACTACCAGGTAGTTACGTTTATTTTTCACAGTCAATCACTCCTCTCCAAATGAAACTATGGGAGGATCCACCTCTACAAAATCAAGGAGAGACCGACGCTCATATAAGTATGGTTGCATATTCGGGCATATTTCCGGTGGGATGCCCTTGCCCGTTTTAATCAAATGACCACGGGTTAGGGAGGGGAAAATGAGATTCCAAAAATTGCACTTTTCCCTACGATAATGAGCCTTGACCATCCGTTTCAGCCCGATTTCCATGTATTTTCCCGATTCCACGTCATACTCGGGCCAGTTAGGACTCATTCTGCTTCCATCTTCATTCTGTGTCGGGTTTCTGAAAGTAGCAAAGGTGCATTTGTGAGATTGCCTTCCCAAAAAATTTCCCCAGGTCTTCGCCTCGTACTTGGAAACTCACCCAGTTCGCGCAAAGTTGGCCCAATACCTCATGACGACTTCACTCAGTCCTGCCTCCTCTTTAGTGTAGTCGTGGAAATTACTCTTAAATGACTGCGAAAACGGCATACCAAACACGTAATCTACTTCCTGGCCGTGCATAGCACCAGTCCAGTCAGGAAAGCCGTTATTTTGAGTTTTGTGTACAAAATTGTAGACATAAACAATCGCATTGGGCAGCTGGGCAACGCGTTGGGCAAATTGTAGTGCTCCGCAGGTCACTTCGATGTCGCCGACAAGAACATCCATCTGACTCATGAAGCCGGTCGCATCCTCCACGACAAAGTCCCGCAATCCGGTGTCGTAACCCGTGACTTCACGAAGACCGGGACTCGTGAATCCATACACGGTGCTCATGACGGTTGTGAATGGGTGTTCGAGATTTTGTTCACTTGTAAAATTTGATGTCAGCATGCGATAGATGTCAAAGTTTGCTTCTTGAAATGTCTCCTCATCTGGCAGGGAGACCGTGCCATCATTATTAAGAAACTGTACACCCTTCAGCTCCAGACCTTTGAGAAGCCAAAGCAGTCCCTCTTTAGCGTTTGTACCTATCAACAGGCTTGGTGGTGAGGTTTCTGTCGGATTTTTGGCTATTTGCGAAAGAATGCTTTCCGGACATTCTGGGAGGAATGAGCCATCGACCGTAGGCGCGAATTCGGTCGAGGGATATAGTCCTGAGTTCAGGTAAGCTGACGGCTCCGCTGAAGGGTAGAGTTTGGCCAGGCGTTCTGCGCGTCGCCTTCCCAATGCCTCGTATACATTTGAGTTACCATATACGATATTGAAGGGTTGATTTTTTGGAGGCAGGCTACCTGCTCGTCGACCGATTTCTTCCCTTCAACTAGACATCCGAACGATTTAGAAAACTGAAAGATTCAACAAGACTGATGATGTACGCAGATTGGATACATAAGGAGAGATTATTCCAAAGGGAAATGACCTGTTTCTGCTATATTAGACCACTGAAAATACAAATGTTTATACTTTAACCTAAAATTATTTTCGGTACAGCGTCACCGGTGGCGGAAGAAGACCATCGTTCATTTAGAATTTGAAACCAATTATCCTCCATGAAGGCGTTTCAAAAACTCATCTGACAAAACCCTCAGTGGTTATCCCATGTGTTCTGCATTTATTGTTCAGAAAATCCTAGTTTGACAATCAGCTTAATGGACCAGATTTGGAGGGTTCCATATGTGGGGAAGGTTGACCAGTTAACTTGAACCAAAAATCAATAAACACAATTATCCCGATGGGGACTTGGTAATTCATGTGCTTAAAGCGTTGGTTGTGCACAAGCCTCGCACCTGCTGTCGTGGATTCGAACCCTGCTGAGGTCGCTGACTTCTTTCATAATTGAGTCAGGGGAATAAACACTATCAGTTTAAGGAGAAACTAGCATTAGAAATCTGGGGAGAGATGCGTCAAGTATTCTCTACCTACCGCAGCAGATAACTCCTGCGCCACACTTGGTGCAACCAGAGCCCACCGATTGAACACGCTGGCGCTTTGCATAATCATCCGTGAAAACAAGGGTCTCGAACCGGGGGACAGGTAGTGCAAGCCAACACTTGCGCCACCGGCTGACCCGCCGAAGAGCGTCACTTGGCCAGCATCCCCTCCAAATGCTCGAATATTCTTATTCACCCATTGCAGTGCCATTTGTTGATCCAGCAGGCCCATATTACATGCCGCCAAACGACTTCCACCAGTCTGGCTAGCATTCAGACAGAGAAATCCCAGTGCGCCCAGTCTGTACTGCATTGAAACTACCACCACGTTCTCCCTGCCAGCGAGGAAGCGTCCATTATGCAGATTCAGTGTTGCTGATCCACTGTCAAAGAGGTCTCCGTGGATCCATGACATGACAGGCAAGCGTTTTTCATGCACGGCTGGTGTCCAAACGTTCAAGTAGAGACAGTCCTCTGACATTTCTGTATTGGGATACAGCATGCGCGCCCTGGGATACTGGGGCTCTAGTTCGTTCAGGTCCTGTTGCCAACAGGCGTTTGGCATCCGTACTGCCTGAAGGCTTCCACTTTGCTCATCAAGGGGTTGCGGTGGGGCAAAACGAAGTGCGTCGGTGGGTGGCTTGGCAAAGGGGATTCCCAGAAACTCTCGCACCTCTCTCTTCTCCCCAGAGATCAATTCCACCTCGTACTTTTTTCCATACACTGCATAGTTATCGGTTACGTCTACTCTGACCTCGCCCTTGAGCCCTTTACAGTCCGTCAAGAGACACACTGTGGATAAAATGACAAACCACACTATTGTTGCCAGCATAATTAGGCTGAGTTTCATGGTATTAAAATGTGCACATATATAGCTGTTTGCCTACGGAGGCCTTGGCACAACTCCTCAGAGTTTTGAGCTACCCAGGTGGCGGAGGCATTTGATTCGCAAACTGAAACTCGTGTGGGCTTACAGCTAAGTGGTCAGTCACGATCAACAATAATAACAACCTAGCAAATCGTTGGCCAGGGATAGAGTCGAGATGACAGTGTGTGGAGAGCAAGAATGCACTGTCAAACCGGGGAGCACTGACTGATGTGACGGTGCACCTGTGAGAACTGACGCCTGAAAACCAATTCGACAGCGCTACCCAGAGCGTGCGGGCGTCAAAATCATAATGCAAAAGGCGTAAGTATGCATGCAGTAATACAAGCTAGGTCGGGAAAGAGGCCTATTTAATCTCCCTATGGCATGTGCCTGAGGAATTTAGAGTTCCGTGTGAGTGGGTCGCGCATTGTATTTCAGTGGGAATTCGGGTGCATCATTAAATGCGGAATATTTAGGCCCATACAGACGAGTGTCGGGGCTGGCTGACATGCTGATGCTGTATACTTAGATCCCTTGGTGGCTTAAATATTCCCCATTCCAATCACCGACATCGTTGCGCAAAACGAGACGGACGGACCAACGCTGGCCTTTGCGTGGTTATATTCTCTAAGCAGTTGAGATTTACGAGAAAGTGCAGACCGCGTAACGAAGGGATGGGCTTGGAAAGGAATGGGGAAGTCGCAGCTGAAAGAGCTGTTCTTTGGTGGCTGGCAGGACACTGCGGATTTCGAAAACGGATAGACCTTTGTCTGAACGAACCGAATCCTCCCTCTTAACGTGACCCTGGCAGGAAGATTTATCCCGAAATGCGACTGAATCCAGAAGGTTTGTAGGGAGCTATCTTTGCGAAGCCAGTTCCATTTTCGGTTTCTGCCTCGGCCTGTAGCAATGGAGCCAGATTTTCGTGATGAACTGTTTCGCTAGCATCTTCTCTCCTCTTAAGGCAGAGGTCACTGGCTTTGAAGACACGTCGGAGGTATTGTAGTTCGGCAATCTTGTCTTCCGGCTCACTGCAGTGCGTTTCGACACGCCGATAGAGCGTCCTTACACAACTGTGTTTGTGGCTGATTGGGTGGTTGCTGTTGAAGTTCAGTACTTTCATCGTATTTGTCGCATTCCTGAGCACTTTGGTCTTTAGCCCACCACAATACTTGCGGCATACGAGGACATCCAGAAAGGCCAGCTGGTTGTTCTCTTCCTCCTCCATCGTAAATTTATGTCCGGGAAGACGCTGTTGAAACGTTCTTTGAACGTTAACACCTGATAACGACGAAGGTATCGTCCACATACCGGGCACAGAACTTCGGTTTTTGGTGTTGGAAGACCAGCGACTCTAGCCGTTGCAGGACCGCCTCGGTGATGAATCCCGAAATCGACAAACCCATTGGTGTGCACTTAACCTGTTTGTAGATTGTCCCGTCGATCTCGACGTACGTCCTGAGATAGAGCTTCAGGAGCTTTTGATTTTACACCCCTTTTTACATCTATTCCCCAGGACCTGGCGATTGAGACAATCGAGCGGCTACTACAAAGCAAATACGATGAAACGGAGAATCGTCTCGGACACGTCCAAATCCCTCAGCTCCTGAAGCTCTGTCTCAGGACGTACTTCACGATCGACGGGACAATCTACGAGCAGGTGACCTTGAGCTACTGGTAACATTGTTTTCAACGCTGCACGCCCCTACTTATAAATGGGCTAAGGCCAGCCTCCAGTTGATACAATACTGCATTACAGCCTTTAAAATTTCCAAATTTGTACTTCTGCACAATTTCCAAGTCCTCCTAGAAACTTCCATCAGGCAAACATACTTATCTCTGTTGGTAAAAGCGAGTTCCAGAAAGCAGTCGTGAAAAAGTAAACACGGTCTCTGGAACAAGGGCTTTATTAGTCAGACGTTTCAGACTCACGCCCGAACCCATCATCAGAGACGGACACATGGGCAATTGGCCGTCCTTTTCTCATTTTGTTACTCATGGCGGATTTCAGCGTAAATCCGAAACTCCAGGCAAATAAATCTCCAGTTCCAGCAATCATGCATGTCTTTGTTGGATGACTTGACGTGGTTGCTCGTGTACTTGGTGGATTGTCTTGTGCATCTGTGCTTTGTAGTGCCATATTCAGTGTTCTCTCTGGGCTTGAAGGCCTCCATATTTATTACAATCCTGCATAAACACACTGAAAATGACTAAAATACTCAAATACATATAGCTGATCTCTTTACTGGTTTTTGGCTTTCAGACGGATGCTGATGGATTCTTGAGCATCCTCCCAATTCAGAAGGAAAGCAGACAAGTGAATTATTAGCTAGCAGACTAACTGGACGACCCCCGAGGAAGGACACTCCGGAGTTAGGAGAGGCGAGATTTCGCGGCCAAGAATTTATCAACCAGCTTCGTTGGGAAATCCACCCCCC